CTCATCTTCCTAGAACCTAAAAAATAACGTAAAGCCGTCAAAGTGGTTATGCTGGTTACCTTAAATTAGTGCCCAAGGATTAAAAAAAAGTTCCAGCGTTAGCGATCTTTCTGAGAGGCACATTTGCGGTGATGCTAATTGTAAGCTACGAAGGTACGCGCTCCACAACACGGAACACATCCCGCTTTAAAGAAATAAACCAAAATTTCAACGTTAGCAATACATAAAAAAATATATATATATCGGAGGGAAAATATTTGCTTTAGAGACTGTACGCCCTCGACAGCAAGGTCACCGAAGTCGCAGCTCATATGACGTCAATACAGGTCATGTATAGGTGTGTGGGACTCGCCTCGTGTCGTGTTTTTCAAGCCGTCGGTAATTACAAGCCTTGCGGTACATACGGGCTGACTGTGCGAGGCCTGTCTCGCATACAAGGGGCTTAAGGATAGAGACGATACACTCTGTTTATACCCCGTTTCCTCTGCAGCTTTAGAAAAGGCGTAGACGTGTGGGATGTACGCTCTAGCTTCGCTTCGTTGGGGAACGCTTACCGGTGTGTTTGAAAAATTGTGCACCGCTCTTTTTTTGAGCGCAATTTGGTTGTTTTTGGTTGAATACTCTACCTGAGATTGCGCGCAATTTGCACAGACAATAGGCCATACCTATGAAATTCGAAACTGTTTTCATGTGTTTTCATTAAAGCGGTCAAGTATTCTGCCTATTGCTGCGTGCTCGCGCCAGGGGATTTTTCTGTTCTTCACGCAAACAATTTTATCAAATGTAGCACCTTAATTTTAACTCCATCAAAGTTTTTTTTTACTAGACCGATAAAGTTTGCAATGTAGAGAATTTTAGTCGTAACAATACATCTTTAGATATTCGAATGCGTCTCGTTTACTGCTTGAGAACTGTTCGGTTAAAGCAGGTCGAACGTAACCAATGACGTAACGACAAGTAGTCCATTACATTGTGGCGACTGCATTACGTAGAAGTAATCTCTTAATCCGCGGTCCCGTTGCCAATACGTCCTGCCAGGGATGGGCAGTATTTCAAATACTTTGTGTATTTGGCATTTGTATTTAATTACAAATTGGGTAATGCATTTGGGGTGTGTATTTAAATACTAACACGTCGGTATTTCAAATACATTTGTAATTAAATACAATTTTGTGGGCGAAAATACATCACTCAAATTTATTGCCACTGTCCAGAGCAGGAACAAACTACGTTCTGCACCAAATGCAATGTCTCTCAATCAAACACAAGCGTTTAGTGACTTTGTGCTTACGGTGCTAGTCTAGGGCAAGAATAGTGGCGAAATCGACGTTCACAGGCAGACTGGCTAATTAAGTGCCTGAAACAACTTGTGATGCTTTCCAGCCTGATTTCCACCCATATTTTTGCCTGGAACATTTTAAATGCGCGGGTCGTCCAGATTTTCGTGATTGGTGCGAGTTGCAAAAATAAAAAAAAATTCTCTAGCTAGTGCTGTGGGTCTTGGTCGCCTCGGTGCTTTGTTGTTGTTTGTTACTCTATACAAAAATTTAATGACCAAAAAAAGCTGCTTGAAGCTCTGTACTTTTTTCACCTATTACGTCCAAGCTGATTACATTTTTTTTGTAATTATATTTCTATTACTTTACGAGAGCCTCGCACACCAACTCCCGAGTGTGCGATGCAAGATTAAAATGAGATACCCAGAAACCCGTTGCAGGTGCCCTGAAGTCGCTGACGCAAATTTTGAGGAATGTATTTGGCAAAGTATTTGGATGAGGCCAAATACATTTGGTTGTATTTGTATCTTGTACTTAAATGCTTTTTTTGAAATGTAATTAGATTTGCTATTAAATACAGTTTTGACGAAGTATTTTGTATTTGTATTTCGATACATATTTGCATGTACTTTGCCCATCCCTGCGTCCGACTAAAGACAGCCTGGGCCTCTTTCTTTTTCATTTTAGACAGTCCCTTCACACGAGGGTCACGCGAAAACTGTCAACAGATATTTTCGAACCACACATGAAGCAAACTGTTTCGAACAGTCTTGGGCCGTGCCTCTAGATAATTGTGCCATTACGTCTCCAGCAATCACCGTGTGCTTTGTAGGGCCTCTCTACAGTGACTTCGCACTTGCGTGTACGGCTGAGTGACCCATACTTGCAATCCCACGAGTTTCTCGGGTGCACGCACACAACTCTGTTCCGAGTTATTATGAGGGCTCCATGCTAATGGTTCCTTTTAGTAGATGGTGTTTGCTTTGAGCAACAATGCTACCCCCAGCATCTGCTGCCACCTCAAAGCGTGCTTTCGAGCTTTCGACTGGAGTGCAATCGGGTCTCTGCAAACAGATTTGCTTCCACTGACTAGAGTGGCGGTCTCAATGCTCGTTCACGCCTATTCTACGCGGGCGCCGCAACCTCCAATTCTGAAACTTCCGGTATGCGTGAAGTCATCGCTTTCCCCTTGCCTCGACAGTAGAACGTGTTAACGTGCGAACGCATATTGTATATGAAGACAAGGAGACAACGAGCTGGGTGCAAGGCTTAACGAAAACGGTGTAGCATGCTGAAGACACGCTGTTCGCAGGGGCCAATTTACGTGTAATGCTGGGAAGAGGGGGGGGGGGGGGAGGTCTGTCGAACGATGACGTCACGAGCGAAGTGTCGCCAAAATCTATTTTGTAGACGTAATATTTGTTATATCACCAGAACTAAACCAATTTCTAGATAAAAAAAAAGCTGGTGTATGTCAATTTTTTATTTTAAAAAGTCGTATTTTTCGCCCACAATGCGCGAAGAAATGAAAGCCATAGCTGTACCACGATCGCTCAAAGCGGATGGAATTGCGCCGTCACGTACCTGAGGACGGAGGTGCGACGTGAATCGTTATCGTAGCCGACGTGGTTGGCGTAGTAGATGTGCACCGCCACCAAGGCTCGATGATCCGTGAAGCAAGTGAGTAGCGCGGGGGAAGTTTCTAAAACCATCCAACATTGCGCGTAGCAAGTGAATACAGCCAAAATGGGATTTCGCGTAACGCGAGTAATGTTTGAAAACAAATCTTTCAAGCAGACGACAGGAAGACTTTTCTTTCGTCGCGTCGTTACTGCCGGGATGCCGGAGCTCCCCGCTCGTCTCTCCCAACGCTGCGCGGCCAACGGGAAAACCCGACTTCCCTGGTTTCGCTCGAAAAGCGGAGAGAAGAAGGTTTTCGTTCCTTGGCACGCGCGGCTACGACGGACGAGGTCGAAGTTTCTGCAAAATGTCGCCTGTGAAACTATCGCATGCAAAACAAAAAAGTTGACTTTGGGGGCTCGTTGCGGACATAATGAAATAATTATCTGCAGACGCACTTCAAGCGTGTTCGAAGACTGTTTTCTTTAGGCTTATGTCTGCTTCGAACAAGTCTGCCTACAGCTTTTTTATGACCAATATAACAGGACCGTTATTCGAGAAGTAAAACCGGCTCAGACATTGCCTGAAGACTGTCTTTTGTACGATGTATTAGCAGTGGCACTGCCGAAAAGCTTAGGAACGCCGCCTCTTGATACCGGAACTCTGATTCATCAAGGCAGGGACAATCACCGTTTCTTCAGCAGTCATGGAGGATTGTCGGTAGTCCGTCTGCTCAATGTCTTCTGACCAAAAAACCGCGTCTCGATGCGACGCTTGCCGACGGTGTGAGGACAGCTGCCCCTTCTATATCGTACCATACTTCTGTTCACAGGCATACAGTGTATCTGAGGATTGCGCTAGGTTAAGACACTGTCGAAGCTCCCGCAGAATGCAGATTTGGGGAGGGTGGTGTAGTATAACGTTCAAAGGGGTTAAATGGATGCTGAACCAAACATTTTATTGTCTATAATAAGTGGCGAATGATCTTTCCACGAGCCAGCAGCCGCCGGTGTGCGTGTGCACATGCAACGAAATTGACGTCATCATATGATGTAAATGACGTTATCATATATGACGACGTCACATATGATATAAATGACGTCATCATATATGATGACGTCAATTTCGTTGCGTGTGCTCGCGCACACCGGCGGCTGCTGGCTCGTGGAAAGATCGTGCGCCACTTATTATAGATAATGAAATGTTTCGTTCGGCATCCCTTTCATGCCTCCGTAGAGTGTTATTAATGCAAAAGTATTAACTGTCCCATGGAGCTTAGCCAGCGTTGTTTGTAGCAGCGAAAAACGGCACATAAATTCCCATTGGATGAGCAAAGCGGCCTCTATATTCTGCACCTAAATTCCCATTGGCTGCGACGCGTCATGTGGCCCCATATCAATGGTGTCATCGTTGCTAAGGAGCCAGCCGAACTGCTCGCGGCGCAGCGGGAAGAGGGGGGGTCGCGGGTGTGGGTTGCCTGACGTTAGGCCTAACCTAAGGACTAACGTTACGCTTCCAGGTCTAATGTTGCGAACCGGTACGCACAGCTGTTTGACGTGAGGAGCGGGGGGCATGGGTATGCACTGGCCTAATGTTAAGACTAACCTCAGGACTAACGTTACGCTTTGAGGTCTAACGTCGTCAACCGGAACCCGTAGCTAGGGCGATGATGATGATTAGAGGACACGTGATTTCAGCACACGCCGCGCCGAGCTTCGCACTCCTGCCGCTGCCTCACCCAGGGGATGTAGCAGTCAGCAGCGAGCCAGGGCGGTCTGCGTGGCGCAGCGCCGCATCCCTGCTTCTGCTCCTCCCGACGGCAAGAATGCTTTCGCATTCGCAACTCATACGAAGTGCTTAGGCGTCCTCGGAATTTTTGTGCTCAGGGGAATAGCTAGCAGAGCAAGGGTGGAGGTATATGACGACAGAGGCGAATCAGTTGCGGTTGTTTAGCCGCAGCTGCAAGATGTTGAAAACTGAAACAAATGGGTGAGCAAACCATGACTACAAAACATGCGAAAAAGCGTTTCTTTTCTGTAAATATGAGCGCTTTCCCGCGAGGCGGTGATGTCGAGAACAGCACTTTTTGGTATAGCGGTCACCACCATTATTAGAGAGCTTTATTACATTGTTCCGATACCTCCGGTAACAATATCCGACAACAACACGATACGTTCACAAATATATGCACCCTTTGGTTTTAACACAAAGAAAACGACTAAGCAAATGCTTTGCTTGGTGTTAATTATACCCTTAGTCTTATGAAAACTAATATTTCATAACCATTTCGGTCTTTCTGCGGATGAAACGTAATTTTTGGGGCTTTGGTGTGTTGAACGTGACGCAATCTGTGACCAGGTTGATTTTCGTAGTTTCGTCTTCTGGGAACACGTCGAACTTCTGAAGAATGCTGGTCACGTACAAAAAGATTTGCGATGATGACAGTAGTTCCGATGGGCACATTCTCTTGCCTGCAACGATGATTTAATTATATTATTCACTCGTGGAAATAAAAGGGGCATCGACTACCATGCTTTTTATCCGGGTTCGTATGTCTTACTCACAACCGCGAACACCAACTTCATTTCAACGTAAATCAGCGCAATCAAAAACTACACTAAAAAATAAACGTTTTTTAAAGGTTTTTTGACGCTTCGAGAACTCTTTCAGTTCGTAGAAAATGGCTTCACCTCATTCACTATTGCCCACTGGCTTACTAGAAATTCGACTGGGAGATTAAAAAATTTTCGCAGTAAAATAATAGCTTGAAAAACCCCTTAAAGGTTTTTACCAAGAATCCTTTTAGGAGTTGCTTAAAAAATTTTAAGTGTGCATAATATCGACAAGCCGAACAACTCCTGAGATTTCTTTTTGGGAGCAAATATTTTGTGTGTGATACCAGTGCCTCCATAGAAGAGGCACTGGTATCATACACACAAACTCGTTCACACAGATTTAAAGCCTATGATTACGGCATATTCACTGCGCTTGATGGGTTTAGTCGTTGACAGGACAAGCACAAAAAGATGAACTTAGTGGCGCTGCGTTTTTGGCTGTACCCATCTGGTTCCATCGGCACGTGATGTTTACTTCGCTCTCTTATTTTGGGACAAAACGAAGAATGGTTGCAACACACCCTCAAGTTAGAACCGACTACGCACATTCTACAAAGCATAAAAGTGACACAAGAAAAGATAGGTTTCGCGAGCACAGTGTATTGTTTGTAGGGAATTGTGACCATTCCAGAAATTCACGGCGCCCCCATTGTCTTCTCGAAGCGTTAGTTCATAACTATCTGATGTACGGCACGTTAAGTAGTGTCGATATCTAAAACAAGTGCGTGTTTCTTTGACTTTTTTCGTTTTCAGAACGCAAAGAAGGCAGGACGATAACAAAGCAGAAAGCGTAGTACCGATTTAGTTCTGTGTTCTTTCTTTATGTTGTGACCTCACAATGGTCAGGGAATGGACCGTGTACCACGTCCTGGATCTACTAAGCGTCCGAGTCAGCCTGAGCGTAAGCACATCGGAACAGAGACCATCTCCAAATGGCAATCCGAGTTGGCCCTGAGGCCTGATTAATAAATACAAAAGAAGCGATAGGCAGTTTTTCGCAATACATTTAAATACAAGAAGTGTAAAAAATAAGGTTGACAATCTTGAAATTCTTTTACACTCTTTAAATATAGAATTCGATGCAATCGCACTCACAGAAACTTAGTTAAAAAACGAGGATTTGCCACCACTTCTGCGTGGTTATAGATGTGAAAATGTGCTCAGAGTTAGCGAAAAGGGGGGGGGGGGCGGTACAGCTATTTACGTAAAAGATAACCTACAATATCAGATTATAGAAGATTTAACAACAATAAATGATGATGTAGAATGTTTGATTGTTAAGTTCCCACATACTGTAGTCGCAGCTGTGTATAGGCCGCCAAACGGCAACGTGCTTGCGTTTATGTCATTCATTAAAGCCTTATTTTGTGCTCTGGGGCCTAACCTACCATTTATGGTTCTTGGTGATATGAATATAGACTCTGCTTTGGATGACGGATATGCGAGAGAATTTAGAGATCTTATTCAACAATACGCCTGTAGCAACGCCATAACGTTGCCTACTAGGGTTACCTCAGCCACTGCGACATCACTTGACGCATGTCTAACAAACATAGAATGTAACCAGATCTCAGCTGGCGTTATCTTGCACGACATAAGCGACCATTTACCTATCGTTTGCATCGCAGCTCTCTCAACCGCGAAAAGTAATCTAAATAAAGAAAAACGTTATCGCCGCAAAATAAACGAAGAAACGCTAAGAATTTTTGGTTACTTAATAGATCAAGAAAACTGGGAAGACATTTATAATGAACATGATCCGACAAAATCCTATAATCACTTCCTGTCTAAATTTGAACGCTGTCATTATATAGCATTTCCTCTATGCGAAACTAAAACAAAGCCTAAAATGATTAGAAAACCGTGGATAACAAATGATTTATATAAAAGAATAAAAATAAAAGATCGCAAGTACCATGCCTTCATACGTCATCGCGATCTAAGTTTACTGTCTGAGTTTAAAAAATTTAGAAACAAGTAAGACTCTGACTTAAAACAAGCAAAATGTGAGTATTATAAAAATAAATTTCACCATATTCACAATGACCATCGAAAAGTTTGGAATACAGTAAACGATCTAACAAACAAAAAGCAAAAACGCAGTAGTGTCACGGAACTGATAATCGATAATATAAGTGTGGCAGGGAAAGAGCTCGCAGACGCTGTGAATTCGCATTTTATCAAATCGGCTAAAAATACAACGAATGATGACTGTGCAACATAAAAAACTCAACAAAATTCGATTATGCTTGCTCCAGCGACTTATGAAGAAATTTATAAAATAATAAATAGTTTAGATAACAATGTGGCTGCAGGTGAGGATGGAATTAAAGCTTTACCAATTAAATGCACCGCTTGCATAACAAGTCCGGTATTATCGAATATAATAAATAAGATGCTAGAGACTGGTGAGTTCCCTGAGGAGCTAAAAGTTGCAAAAGTAATCCCTGTGTATAAGGGCGGAGGAGAAACTGAAGTTAATAATTAAAGGCCGATATCTGTTCTCTTTCTGTTTTCAAAGATATTTGAACGAGTTATCAATGAGAGGCTAAATAATTTTTTTCAAAAATTTCAAATTATTTCTAAGTTCCAGTATGGATTCCAGAAAAGCAAGTCCGCCGAATCAGCCCTGATTTAAATAAAAGATAAAATAGTTGAGAATATTGAGAGAAAACTTGTCACTGTAGGTTTATTTTTAGACCTAAAGAAAGCTTTCGACACCGTACAACCAGGGTATCTTACTTAAGAAACTTGAAATGTACGGAGTACGCGGAGTGGCGTTAAAATTAATTAAAACATATCTCACAAATCGGTACCAATACGTGTGCGTAGATGATATGATATCTAGTAAAATTAAAATACGTTACGGGGTTCCTCAGGGCTCTATTTTGGGGCCGACGCTATTTCTAGTGTATATAAATGATATAACGGATACACCAGGTTGCCCCGAGATGACAATGTATGCAGATGACAGAAATGTGTTTTTTTTCCAGGTTTAAAAAAAAAGAATGTAGAAAAATTAGCCAATGAATATCTTACAAAACTATCCAAATAGTTACAAAAAATAGCTTAAGCCTCAATACCAATAAAACTAAGTATCTGATTTTTAAGCCAACGGGGAACCGAGATGACAGCATTATAAACATCAAATTTGAAGGCACGGTACTTGAGCAGGTGGTTGAACAAAAATTTCTAGGTGTTTGGTTCACTGAGGACCTTTCTTGGAATACGCACGTCAGCAAACTAAAAGCCGACTTGTCCCGAGTTACAGGCATGATTTATAAAATTCAAAATCTAATTCCTGTCTGGCTTAAACTAACGTTATGCTACTCCTTATTTTATTCTAGGATCAGTTACGGCATCATGGTGTGGGGTACAACAACAGCTACAAACTACAATAAACTAATCATTTTACAAAAAGATACTACGGATATGTGAAAATTACAGAGACGACATAAGGATTTTAAGAACGCAGCCACTCTTTAGCAAGTATAATATTCTTAAGGCAAATCAAATTTATTATTTCAAACTGTTGCAATTGATACATAGAAATAGGCTCCACTCGACGCCCATTACCAGTTCTAATCCATACTTATTACGAAACCCAATTCGAAAAACACCATACGTGAGAACAAACTATGGTCGACAAGCATCACATTATCAGATCACTAAAATGCTTAATAGAACAGATATCAACATAAACTTTGACCAGCCGTTTGGTAGTTTTAAACATTTTTGCAGAAACATTCTAGTGGCAAGCATTTTCTTTGGTATAATTTTTTTTCTGGGTGTAACGTTGTGCACTTTTTTTCTGCAGTTCAAACTTGCATTGCAGTATCTGTTTCACCTTTTGAATATTGTGTTATTGCCCATCAACAAAGTGTGCAGATGTTTTTGTTTTTATCTTCAAAGAATTGTTTGACCTGTTTTTGTGAACGCCTCATTTCGTGTTTATTAATGATATCATCAGTTATGTTATCTGTGGAAAGCGTTGTTTTATCTCGTTGCAGCGGTTATTTTTTATCTATTTTCTTTGTTTGATTGTAACTTTTGTTGCTGCATGTTGAACGGTACGATCGGGGGGGGGGGGGGGGGGCAGAGGCTATGTCAGGCATTGTGCCTTATCTCTGCCCCCTCTGTGGAAACATCTCCGCAAAACAAATAAAGAAAAAAAAATCTATTGGAAAATGAGGTGCGGCGCAATCGGTGCAGCTGTCCCACAGAGGCTCTCGGAACTTCGGAAAATCTAGCGCGATATCAGAATGTTTGTTTAGACTTTGTTGTAAACTTTAACGAAACATTCAAACTAAAGTCTCACTCAAAACAAGTTATACAGATTGTGATATGGTGATAATATTCATATAGAGTTCTGTTGAGTTTTATATAATTGATGCGCGCTACCACTAAACCTCGACGCAAAATTCAAAGGCACGGACACACGTGTCTGCCTATTCATGGTTTTCAATGGACCATATGGCAATTCTCAGGCGCTCACTCAGCAGATAAAGACGAGTCAAAGGGCCACGGAAACGATATGACGTAACCCTCTCGCTCTCTACCCCTCGCTTCAAAATCGGCCTGCAAGAAGCGCTATGCGCATCGCACCCGTGACGTCAAGGGCCTCTTCACTGTCAAGGGTGCTTTAATTGCGAGCATTGCCACTTGGTGGTGTCCACGCGTGACGATCTCGCCTAATATTAATATCCAAGGACTGTGCGCCCTATGGCCGATACTCCGTTCACCCTTAAGCTAAGACTAGAAGCTCCGTCTTCAGCGCGAGCTCGCTGGCTTCCCGAGTGCTTTGGTTACGCGTGCCTGCGTGTTCACACTTAGCAAGGGCAGAAAGTTCGCGCTGAAGGCGGAGGTTCTAGTCTCAGCTAAAAGAGGCCCTGCAAAGCGTTTCTGTTTATTTTTTCTTATATTTTGCATCGCGGTCGCTCGAACCATAAAAATAAAATACAAAAGAAATCTAATGCATTTTCATCGTAATATGTGAAATAAGTTAATATTTTGAGCACACTTTTTATTGTTGATGACGCCTTTGGTCTGCACCAATAGAGAATCGAAACGACAAGAGCGTACAACAACCACGCGATCTTCCTAATTGTTTGAATTAACATCCCGTTATAAAGATGTGAGCGCTCCACCGCTTCACGGGTGTTCCGAGAAAAGAATCACGGGCCTGAAAACAACAGAAGTGGTAACGTGCACCTATTTGAGCCAGGCCTACCTATATCATTCCATGCCGTCATTATCCGACGTTCTAGACCTGAGTCGTCACTGAATGCTCGTATTTGACACTGATAGTCGCGCCTTTCAAAGCAGCACTTGGTCTCTTTCGTCCTTTTGCAGAGCCCCTTGGTCAACGGAGCAGGGGGATCGGTGGTCGAGTGCGCTAGCGCACACAACTCGGAGCACGTCGACCGAAAGCTCGCGCTGCAGAATTCCCAGGGATCCTGGGCTCAATCCCCACCCCTGCCCGTTTCGATCTGGATGAGCATCCTACCGGCGTGCGGTCGTGTATCACTATTCTCTGTTTCATACTTAGCGTGCAACGCTGCCAAAGCTACTGGCGCGAGCGCGGGGCTTCCTCTATAGATTTGTTTGCTCGAGAACTCGTGCAAATGATCAACGAGATCAAGCCCCACGCTCGCGACAGTAGCTTTGACAGCGTTGCACGCTAAGTATGAAACAGAGTATACTGCGTGCTGCACGTTAAAGACCCCAGGCTAGCGGTTGCACTGCACGGCTAAATTTCTAATCTACAGCGAGTGACTGGTCGCCACTTTGAAATGGCTGACCAACTACACGCTGTCTAAATATCCACATAACACCAATTATTATCTGAAGGAGCATATACATATAGCTTCCCCATAACGTCAATCGCGGCCATGCCGTTTTTTTTTGTGCTGTCAGCGTCTTGTTTGCCGTGTTAATTTCACATCGAAGAAGTACGAGCTCGATGGAACCAGTAAGTAGCAATAGGCGTCAGTACGCAGCAATGGCGACACCTGTAAGCTATGTATATAAGGTATTCACTAGGTGCAATCTTTGAGCACGTTATTCACAGCGCATCCTGGAGGACCGGAAAAGGGGGGGGTGGGGGGGTAATGGTATGGCTGGATTGACAGAGATCCTCGCATCCCCAGATCAAACTCCTACCTATCGTCTGCCAAGAACGGCGAATTTTATGGTGCGGAGTGCACGTTGCGGAAGCACCGTGGAAGCTTTGCGATACTGTTCAAGCCAGAGTTGTCTATAGGGGGTATTCACTGGACGCCATATTTGAGGGCGCTGTTTCAAGCACATGCTCAGAACAAGCTCATATTAATAGGCTGCCAAGACCGGCAGTCTTGATGGTGTGGGATGCGCGTTGCAAAAGAACTGTGGAAGCTTGCCGTCAGCACGCGCTCAGCAGTCGCGCACACAGCTATGGCCGCCAGTGAATGCTCTCTATTAGCGATGTGCGCGACCAAAAACGCCACTGCGGTCAATTTTTCACAAATGGCGAACCACGGGCATATGAGCATTGTCAGATTGTCAACTTTGATGGTGTTAGTTTTGGATTGCGATGGCTCCTAGCTTCCACTGTGCTTTTTAAACTCACCATCGAACTCGTCGTCGCACCTGATGCTAAGTAGCCAGGGTAACAACTCGTGACGTGACGACGAGGCATATCCCGGTCGTGACGTCACGGATGGAAACCCTAACAGGGCACCATCCAAACATCTCGGCGGTAATACCTTTGCACTGTGCTTCCGTGAGTGGCGCTGGGGCGGGAAGCATTGAACGTTATAACTAAATCGGCTTCCCAAGTATTGAGAAACCGTCCTTATTTGTTTTAAAAGTAGTTTGTGTGCGTGTGCGACAGAAATATTGTTGTTTCTAGGGTGCTGACACAACGTTGTTTCTGGCTGAGCAACAAAATAAGAGCTACAACTTTGTTTCGTACCCAGTTAGGCATAGGTCAATGCCACAAGCGCGAGAGCAAGAGGTCCCTGTTTAAAAGCGTCCTACCACAGAACGAGCATTCACGCTTCAAATGCGCGTCCATTAGGAGCCTATGCTTCTAGCTTTGGCCGCAATCTCACCATAAGGTTGAACAAAGTGTAGAACTTAGTCGCACCAAAATTTTCTTGAGCATTTCCAACCATCAGAGCCTGAGATGCAGACGCTAACTTCGGTTATAGTGCTACACTATACACAGCGCCATTGTGACATGCTGTCAAAATGGCGTTTATGTAATTCCAAAATCCTCCATCTGAAATGTACAGGAAGACGACGAAGGAGCGAGCGGGATATTTGAGAACTCCTTCTCATCCATTTTTGTCTTACCTGCCGAGAAAGCCATAAGATAGTCCGGTTTGGGCAAAACCTTGGTACCCGACTCGTCGAGGAATCTCGTTGGGTCGAACTCTTCAGGGTTCTTCCACAGGTTGGGGTCCATGTGCACGGCCCAGAGGTTTGCGATCACCACGGTGCCCTTGGGAATGAAGTAGCCTTCGATCTCCGTGTCCTCTTCGGCCCTGAGATTTCAGAGGGAATTGTAATCAATGGATAATATAGAGCCATCGAGACAAAGCGATTCTTATATATCGGTGGCCGATACTCCACAAATTCTAAAATAAGACAGCCCGGTTCATTGAAGACGGTTTTAATAAACTCACTCTAATTGAAGTCCTTGAGCACTGTAATCGGTAAACGTGACTATGGACGATAAGAAGTCGAGTATGTTGTTTTTTTCTGTTTTGTTTTGTTCTTGTGGAGAAATCAACATATTCGGCTGTGAATCATTGAGTGGGCCAAATTATAGTATACACCCCTAAAATATTTCTCTTTTTGGGAACACTTAGATGCCGGAGAGAAAGTATAAGGTCGATCTTCTCCACACAATAATTAATAGAAACATCCGTTACATTCATATCGACATTTATTATTATTAGTTTTTAATCTCCAGCCAAATTTGATATTGTTGCCATGAGTCGATCTTGTCGTCTCTTGGACTGTCAGACGTCGTGTCGTCAAGGAGCGAAAATACGAGAAAAGGAAAGCCAGGGAACGCATGAGCGATAACATCGGGCGCGTCGCGGAAGTGCGCGACAGTATCCATGGCAACCGGTGCCTGCGTGCCTACGTCACTTCCTTGCGGCGACGCGTCGCTCGGATTTGGTCAATACAGATCAGCGCTGCAGGCGTTACAGAAAAAAAGTAATGAAATACGTAACTCGTTACTTGCAAATACAAGGAACTCGTTACCGATCTACGTTATCTCAGAACAAAAGGAACGCGTTACCATTACCGTTACTGATAAAATGTAGCGTACGTTACTTTTACTTTGCTTTTTGAAATTATAAATTAACACGTTTTAATCTTTTGACATTAAAGATATGCATAAGCGCCATATTTAAAGAAAACTTATTGTCATGCAGAAGCTGAACATAATTACCTTTTTTTATGGTTTCACCTAAATATTTAAAAAAAACGCAAAAGAAAAACGGCAAAAATTAAAAAAATTCGCATGACTTGACGCCTAAAAACACAAAAGGAATTGAAGTGTAATTTTGTCAACCTTTGGAAGAATATGTAACGAGTAACGTAACTACGTTACCGCTACTCGAAATGAGTAACGTATATACGTTACCCGTTACAGCTTTCGAATATGTAACGAGTACGTTACTACCATACCAGTAGCGCTGTTGCTTGTAACGCTTTGCCGCCAACACTGATGCAGGTACTAGTGAGCTTTAGTATTGCCTATACGAGCAAACGCAAGTGTTATGAGTTTGCGTTAGCGTTCTATGTCTCACGCTGCGCATGCGCGAAGTCGCGATGCGCCAATCTAAGGCCGCGGTTTAGGCTCCACGCACGCGAAGTCTGTAACACGCAACGCTAACGCAAACGCACAGGGCTTGCGTTCGCTCGTATACGCAGTACTAAAACTCACTAATGCCGCGCGGTGCGCTTGCGGCGCGCCTAGCGGCGAGCGGCTAGTGTCGCGCAGCGACCACTTTTACCGTTCATGTGTTCCATGCTTTACAGCGCTTGTGTCAATTCACAGACAAAACGCTTCCTCCAGGTTGCACAAAACAGCGAACGGGTGTCCAATGAAATATAACGACCACAGAATGGATATAAGAAGAACGGCCGTTACCCTCTCGGTATTCCCACGGGCGCCACGGGCTTCCAGCGGTGCATCTCCCAGACGCACGCCATTGTGTAGGGCATCCGATGGCGGTCCTCCCACGTCGGCTGGCGCTCCTGGCCGATCACTTCGTCGATCTCGGCCTGCATCCGCTTCTGGATGTCCGGCTTGTCGGCACAGTTGAGCAGCTGCCAGAGGACCATGCGGTTGATGGTGTTGGTGCCGGCGCCGAAGAAAGTCAGCACATTGCCCGGAATGTACTCCGCTGCGTCGACAAGGGGATCGGACGACCGATGGGGAAATAACCCTTCAGGAAAGTGAGGTCTCGAAACGTGGCACCATTAACAGAAATAACGGTACAGAATACTCCGTGTTGTATGCGTATGCCTTACGACGAGTCAAGAAAGTGTAGCAATTTAGTAGTAGCGGCGTCGTTGCCTTTTCAAATGTTTTAATTAATCATTTTCATTATGTCCACCATATTCTCCAGAATGTAAAGTAGGAGATCAAGGTATCAATAACTCCCCACCTTGGGAATACTCCCCTGCACTTACGGTACAATCACAAAAATTCTATCACTTTTTTTTTTTTTTAATGGCGGCCATTTGTACAAGGAGAGCCCATTTCAGGGCGTACCCTTGTGTTGTGATGGAAGCTCTTAGAAGCCCACGACTCGCGAACTTGCTCTAGGGAGTCTTTCTCTATTAAGTTTCTTCTAGTTATCTATGAAAAAGAGGCTACTGTTTTCGTACTTACGGCGCTTCAGAGCAGGTCTCTGAGGTCTATCTCACTAGTTGCGCGCAGTGCTGTCAAAGCCACGGGTTGGAGAGAGATTATGAGTGGCGGGCGAAACTCTGAAGGGGTGGAATGCGACGTCGGAGTGTACAAACGAAGGTCTGTGTAAGAGAGGAGTTCCTCCTTCCCCTTCCCTTCAACTGCCAGTATTACAATCACAGCCACCTACCTTTGGTAAATGAGTCATTCATGCACTCGGTCGTTTATTTTTTGTGCTCATGAACGGCGGCGGGTTGCTAGTAATGATGCAAGTCAATTACAGAAGTGCTAGCAGACCGAAAAAATCACAACAACGAAAATAACAAAAATGATTCCCGGTGCTGGTCCTAAGCCTCCGCAAGAGGCTTAAGAACACGTCTGTTGTCAGCCGGCCCTCCTTAATTGCAAGTGTGTGAACCGGTCTTAAGCCCCCAGGCGACAAAGGCCTGTCAAATGTCATGGTCGGTTGAACCATCAACACGAAGCCATCGAAGGTCAATACAAAAAGGTGGACAGGAAAGGGCAAGGGGTGAAATGATAGGATTTAATTAGCTACCACGCCGTTACAGGTGGATCGGGAGTGATCACTGCGTGTCTAGATGAGATTAAACCGGGATAGTGATTAATCCCGGTGCGGATTAAATTACATTTGTAAATAAGATGGGATACTCCCTGCTCGCTATCACGGTTGCTTTTGAAATTTTATCGTAAATATGTTACGTCCAGTTTGTCATACCTGTGTTTGGGTAAAGCCATATTTTTTGAAAGGGGGAGTTTGGGAAATGATTTTACACGTGTTCTGTGATTGTTAAATCTCAATCGAAAAGGTGTGCTGGTCTGACCCGCGTACGTACTGGTCAGCCCAGGTGCTACATGTCAGCAGGTATATAATATAGCTTGTGCCCCAGTTTAAGGTTTCGTGGATTATGTCGTTAAAATGGGAATTCGTACTGTCTACCGTGGTTTTAGGTTTCACGTGTTGGCACACCTCGCAATTCGTTTTTCCGCATGGGCGACCGCTAGTGCTTTCAGTGTAAGTTGTATTAAACTAACTGTGGCGTCCCTAAGGTTGCGTGATCGTCTCTAGATTTCTCGGGAAACGAAACGAATAATTATTTCGAGGCGCTCACTTTGCCGTAAAATGTTAAATTATTTTCTAACGTGGCTGCGACGTTCGGAGACTTTTTGTTGAAAGTGAGTACGAGGTCCGCCCGACGCTCTTCTGTCTGAGGGCTCCTCTCACATAGCTAGAGGCAACGATCAAGGGTCTGCGCCTTACTGATCCCATCGTCTTATGATCTTTTCCGTGTACTTCTGTTCTTTCAGGACTTGCCGTAATTGATCTGTATTGGTTTCAAAATCGTCGTTTAAACGTAAAACATATACGTTTAAACCTGCTTTCAAAAACCAACAACTCGTGGAAGTCGACTTCACTGCTTTATATGCAGCGGCATCCTAGTCTATATCTTTCTTCTGTCCCTCTCTCTTTCTATATATATATATATACATATATATATATATATATATATATATATATAAATAAAGTAATGAAGTTGCACATCAAAGCGTATTTGCTGTACTAAAGCATTTATTGAGTCGACGTTTCGGCGTGAGATAGGGCTTCTTCCAGACTGGTCGCCAAAATTGGTTACAAAGTGGTTTTCGATCTCCACACCTGGGTCAGGACACTGCCTAAGTAGAGCGAGCACATGTAAAATCATTTCCCGAACTCCCCTTTTTAAGACATATGGCTTGACCTAAACGCACATTTGACAAACTGGACGTTGCATTTTTACAATCTAATTTTACAAGCGACCGTGATCGGCAGCAGAAAGAATCGCATCTTATTTACAAATGTAATTAAATTCGGGCCGGGATTGATAAAAAAAAGCAAGTATAATGTCATCTATGCATGCAATAATCACCCTCAATCCACCTGTAACGGAGTGAATGTAGCTAAATCAATCCCATCAATTCAACCCTTGCCTTTTCCCGTGTACCTTTTCGTATTACGCGTCGATGGCCTAGTGTCGACGGGTCAACCGGCCATGACCTTCGACAGGCATTTGCCACCTGTTGCTCCTTTGTTTTATGTTCTGGAACTGTCGTTTACTTTACGATTTTTTTTAAATTTTTTTTAGTAGGGAGATAATCTTTGAGCGTTGACCAAGCGTAATTGGCTTTCTTCGACCAGGGTTGCTGTCGAATTAGAAAATGTTACACGTGACGGCACACGTGATATGACCCAGGGAGTAAACCGATCACAACTGTGTAACAAATTTTTGCAACCAGAAGCCTGGCCTGACTCAGGCGGAGGCGTCTACTCATTAAATGTCATAAAACACCACCAACGCTTGGAAGTGTGACTTCATTACCTTATATTCTTCTGCATCCTACGCTATATCTATATAAATATATTTATAAAAAAGAGAGCTAGGCTTCCTCTCGAACCGTAAAAAAACCTTTCTTGTTTTTGTTCAGTCCCTGGATCTTTGTTGTACACACACACACACACACACACGCACACACACACACACACACACACACACACACAAACACACACGCATATATATATATATATATATATGCAGGGTGTTTTTTTTTAAGCTTAACAGAATTTTTAAACAGAAACCATGAAAGGTAGGTTAATGCGGTCTGCGCAGGTGAGTTATGCGGCAAGGGGGACATAGTTTAGGGGGTCAATCGTAACGATCGGTCGGCTAATTAGTTAAAATTCGTTAATTAATTTTTTTTATTAGTGAAAATAGACATATAGCTCCAATTGCAAACTTGCTCAGCGTCACCAGAAACCACTAAATCAGTAATTTTCAGAAAGACTTTGAACGCCTGAGAAGCGTAGTTGTGCACTAAAGTTACCGCTCGTGGAGCAGGTACAAGGCTGGGGTTAGATAAGAGACGGAAAAATTGCGCGGGCGCCTTATCGCAACCGCTAGCTTTGTACGTGCTCCATGAGTGCTAACTTTAGTGCACTACTACGCTCCTCACGCGCTCAAAGTCTTTCTGAAAATGACTGATTTAGTGGTTTTCGATGACGCTGAGCAAGTTTCTAATTGGAACCATATGTCTATTTTCATTAATTAAAAAGTTCATTAACGAATTTTAACTAATTAGCCGACTGATCGTTACGATTATCCTCCTATAATATGTCCCGCGCAGCAGAGATTGGTTGCACCATTTCTCCACGGGGCGCGGTGCTGTCGGGGCCGAGATGCGCTCCGACTGCAAACCGAAACTTAAAAACCCGTTGAATTTGTGCGGTCTTTCAGAAATCCGTAAAATGCTTCGCGTGCTTTCTATCGTTCTGCAATTTGTTGATTTCGTGTTTTTCGATGATGCTGAGCAATTTTTAATTGAAACCATGCCCTTAAACACAACATTAAAAAAGTTAATTACGCAAAAATGATTAGCAACCTAATTAGTCTGGACTTTCATAATTTTTCTAAATAGGCCCCTGGCCCAAAACCAAAACGACAAAAGCTCTTTTTTTTTTTTTTTTGCGACGCGTAGTTTTTGCAATATCGAATTCGTTCACCTTTCGTGAAACACTCTGTATATATATAAATAACCGCGAGCTTTATTTTCTAGGGCAGCGTATACTGCCGGAAGTCGACGTTAGCCCACCAGAATTGTATATATGTATACTTTTTTTATTTTATACTTAATATGTATTATCACGTAATTTGTTGCGGTTTAAATTGTTATCAATCATTAACCTTTCAATCTACTAATTCCACCAGTTTAGTCAACTCCTACTTTTTGCCGTATCCTCCAGCTGCCTAGTTCGAGCTCCCCCTGTGTATCTGCATAATTTGAAAATATTCTGCGCACTAAAAAAGTCTGTGCGTCTACTTTCACGCACCACGCTCTGAGAGCCAATCACCGCAACTTACGGAGGCAGCTCAGCGAATGACGATGCCGAAACATATGTTTAGAGTCTAGACCAAAAAATGCAGCGTGAGTTGTGACATTAAGCAATGTAAAACGTCACTCTTGCATTGCTTAATGTAACAACCGAGACTGCGTTTTTTGGTCTAAACATATATTTTGGCATTGTCATTCGCTGAGCTGTCTCCGAAAGTTGCGGTGATTGGCTCTCCGAGTGTTGTGCGGGAAAGCAGACTCAAGGGCTTTTTTTAGAGTGTGGCACTCTCGTCACTGCAGCGTTTCTTATGTTACCGCTGAATAAAGCGGCACCGAAAGTGCTTCATCATGGCGCTCAACGCCTTTGTGTGTTTGATATCACCTTAGACCAATCGCACACAGCCAATGCGCCGCGATGCTGTTTTTTTCCTGCGCGTGGCAGGTTTAGTCGGCGTCGGTAAGCTCCCTAAGACAACCAGCGCCATGACGATGCTTCTCTAGCGCAGCCTGATTGCCTGTTTCGGATCGTAGCGTAGGATCCGGTCGGATTTAAAGAGAAACAAAGCATAGTTTGGCCTGGAATATAAAAATTGCGGTGGCTTAACTCGGCTATGCCGGGATATAAGTAGCGTGAGCTTATGCGCACAAAATGAGAGGCGCTATCAAGCGGCTCGGGTGCAGCGTCAGACTTGGCTACTGCGCAACGGAGGCGCACAGCTGGGCACGCGGCGGCGCCAGTGCGTCTGCCGCGGTTATGACGTGACTCCTCTGGAATGTGCAGACTGGCGAGGCGCGCGCGGTGGCGGCGGAGAGCGCGGCGGCGGCGGCGGCGGCGGCTCCGGCGCGCCAGCTGTGCGCCGTGTGACGTCACTGCTCCTCGCGCTTGCGGCGCACGGCTCTTTGGGAGCCACGCGAAACTGCTCAACCTCGGTCAGTGTAGCTAACGCTATAATATAGCATTTGCGCATACTTTTGAAGTAAGGCGACGGACGCTTCTCGTGATCCATCGTCTTCTCTAAGTAGCTCTTGATGAAACTTTGGTCGTCGGTTCCGTCGTGCGATAGCTGGTATTCCTTGGTGCATTGCCTGGAATAGAAGCCAATACCCGCGTTATGCGTGTTGCAGCGACACTTTATAGGATAATTGACCTTTCAGCTAAAGCATATATCCAGGGTTTTAAGAACTGCAAGATTTATTTTCCGGGCGAGACAAGAGAACAGTTAACCACGTAACCAGTAATCAATGGTAGAGGCGAATACAGATCGTTAGAGGAAGCATCCTCTCGAAAGCATAGGCTTTTCTTCAAAACTCTATCGATATCTCCCCGCAGTACTCATGTACGCGAAGGGTGCGGCAGTACACAAGACAGCGGCACTCCGGTTCTATCGTATTTTTGCCGGAACTTCTACGACCGACCGCGGGGATCGCGACATCCGACAGCGTGACACTCTGGATTTTATGACGTAATTTGTGGACACTTCGGAACCATTTTATAAATAGGTCGCTAAACACACCAGTCGCAGCAGAGGGAATAATTGGATCATATGGTTTATAATGCGCATGATAAAATGCGGCAAAAAAGGCAAGGACCATAGACTATTTGAACAAGAGTGCCTTGTCTCGATCAACATGTCTGTGGTCCCCGATTTTCTCGGCGCCCTTTCCAATCAGCACTTGTCACAGACGTTAAAGTTGAGGCTTGGGCGATTTAGTACATACTTCGCAATTAAAAACAGCGCGAAAAGACGAGGACCAGACAAAGAAGTGACACGGACGCAGCGCTGTACAACTGAGTTTATTGAACTCAAAATCGCAATATATCCTTGCGTTGTCGCGAACAAAAGAGAAGAAAAAATTCAGCCCACGTAATACATCACCAATAAAAAAAAAAAAAATGCGCCATGACACAGCTGTACAGAGTATGTGCTGAAAACAGGCAAGTCAGGGCACTAGAAAATTTATCTCTGCCTGAAAGGGCCACTGAAGGACTGCTTACACATGCTGCACTCAACCTCGCTATCTCAACAGGCTTAGAATTTCTCAAATCAGCACTTATTCAGCACTCGAGGGCTGAGTAAGTGTTCGACGAGGACCCGCTTCCTGCCCCGAAAAATGGCGACCATCAATGTCCGTCTCAGTTCTTTGTCTGGTCCTCGTCTTTTCGCGCTGTTTTTAATTCCGAAGTTGTTACAGACGCGTTCCATGCATCATAGGTGGAACGATCGCTCACCTGATGTAGTCCAGGATGTTCTGAAAGGCATGCCTCATGTCGTGGATCCTCGTGAAAGGCAAGTGAGCCCAGAAAGTGTACATCCATGTGGGAAGAAAGATAACAAGCGACCCGGACGAGAGGGCCCTCCCTGCGCCGGCCATGTTCTCGTCCAGGTAGGTGCGTCGAGGGTCGTCGTAGTCGTAGCGGCTTCCGAACAGGAGGCCCGTGATTATGTTCGATATGCTGGGCACGGTGTACTTCCTGATCAGAACGGGCGCTCCGTCCAGTTCTGAAATTCGGTTCACAAGGTACTGGGCCTCGTCCTGCGTTGAGAAGGGAAGAAGAGAAAGTTAGCCATGGCGGGAAAATATGGCCCGCTCGTCTACCGCTAGCCTACTGCTCTGTGGAGTGCTGGGGGTACCAAACACTTTGATATACGGAAATATATAAACCGTTGACGCAGCTCGGATAATCTTTTTGAGAGAGCAACGCGGTCTACGCTTGGACAGTACTTGATACCAGTGTTGCGGCCATTATAACTCCATTCCGGGGAATAGACGTATTGCTAAATTACCGTGCCATCAGCGAAAATTCTGAAAATGTAGGTGCAAGCGCCGCACGCGCTCGGCTTTTTGCATATAAAAGATTGGAAGTAAGTAACCAAAATAAGGTGCTGACGAACGTGCATGCAAAATGACGTTTGTTTTTGGCTTTTGTTTTTTAATGACTACTTCTGCAGACGCCAGTACGTGCGGGGCTTGAACATACATTCCCAGAATCCTTGTTGACGCTTCGGTAGTTTAGGAAGATGTCTATTTAATTTGAGAATAATTTCATTTTTTTTTTATCCTTTAGTAATGAGGACAATAGGACTATTCCCACTCATGGAATGGCTGAAACGTTCTATTCCGTTCATAGAATTTCTTTATTGTGTTCTTATTTTTCATCATTGAAAAATTAGCAACATGAACGTCGAAGGCTGAATCACCTATTCGTTATAAAAACACGACGTTTCAAGTAGCCACTCTGACCACGCGCTAGCGCTGCAACAGCAGGTCGTAGGTCCTACCTAGATATCGACTCACTTTTCATAAGAACCGAGCCTCTTCCATTTTCACTAAATTCCGGGCAAAACGCATCTAATAGACCCTTTTCAAACGTCCCTGTCATTGCCAGTTCGCCATTGCATGATCACGTACTCAGAGCGTGTGTTGGACACGAGGGCCCCATCAGCGTTTGACACGAACTCAACTCAGCATTTATTCACCACTCGAGTGCTGAGTAAGTGTTCGACAAGGACTCGTATTCAATCACCCGCTTCCTCCCCCAAAAATGGCGACTATCAATGTTGCTTGATGAACTTTTGAAAACGCTCTATTCTATTCCCTTTCCATTCCTTCCAGCGCTGCCGTCATTCCATTGCCATTCCATTCCGGGGTCGTGGAAGTGTGGAATCGTTTCGGAATCATTCCAACCTTGTAGTGGAAACTCCGGAACACTGCTTGATAGGGCGTGCTCGGTCGAGGTACATACATTTCGGAGTATGACTTTGCAACTTTATAAGATTTGCAAAAAGCTGGCAGCACATTTGGTGACCTATGGTGTCACAAAGCTTTGAGGAGCGCCTCTATATTACTAAAACGTTCGTGCTACGTACAATCGGAGAACATACGCAACGCAGGAGCACTGCTACTGAGATTCATGATCGTATCGCTTTTTGATTGTTCTGGAGGATGCGACATGTCTAAACTAAAAAAGAGGGCTTTTATTTACTTATTTCGCAAGCAGAAGGGCTTTCCAAATAAATATAGCCGAATTGTAACTCATACATTGATGTCCCGCCCAAAACGTCAACTAAACGATAAACGAATTGATAATACGGTGTTACCGCCCTGGTACCCGGAAAAAACCAAGCCCACAGCTTGCCATCCTACGCTCGCGAACGCCATGGTACATTGGCCCAACGTCGCTAAGACTACCATCAATCACCTAAACGTCGTGACATAATTTTTGTGTGAACTCTTCGCCCGAAGGCCTGTTCTCGATGCCGAGAGAAAGCGGGAGGAAAAAAGGATGTGACGAAATCAATATCCAATTTCGGTTTAATCGGCACGCCCAGTTCTCAGATGTTTCGGCTTCAAAAGTGTAGATAGTTGGGCAGGAGAGGCTATGGGCTGGAGTATATTTGTTGAAACTATGAGGCACGCGCGCTAAAAGAAAGCTAGGACGAAAAAAGGAAGTAAAACGAACGAGAATGATGGCGCTCCGGCTTCGTAGCGATGTCGTTTGATATGCCAGTATTGCTGAGTAAACCCGTTTTTTTTTTATATTGAAGCGTCAACATTTAACGAAAAGACCCATAAAAGAGGTGCCGAAACTCGGGACCCGACAGCATCGGACGGTAAGACGTCGAAGGTTGCCTAAGGACGCCAGCATGAAAAGACTCAAATAGAAACGTAGAATCCAATGAACACAGTAAACGAGACTGCGTTTTGAGATCGACTCTACCTTGGAACGCAAAGCACTCATGGAAGAAGAGATCAGGATCCTTCTCGCACGGTTGAATAGCATACATGGTCAACTGAAAGAAAACGACTTAGCCATCGAGCCATCGCTAACTGACGAAGAATAGGAGCAGGAGTTCGAGCGGACTATTGAGTACGACGACCGTGTCGCCGCGTAATCCGCGCGACTAAGCTTCAGATTAAACATCATAAGCGAAGAAATAGCCATGAGATACGATCAAGCACGCCAAAGTGGCAGTGAATTACCACGGCCAACGGTCATGGTTAAGCTTCCGAAGCTCGAGCTTTTGATTTTAAAGGGGGTTGTCGACAGTGGCAGCCCTACTGGGAGCAGTTTGAACAGGTGATCGACAAAAACCAGTAGCTATCGTCCGTCGACAAGTTAAGCTACCTGTGAACTGCCTTCTCTGAAGGAGCGTAAACGGCAATCTCCAGATTTCCAGCAGTGGCTATATGCTATCAGGACGCTGGATACATCCTGAAAACCCGTTTTGGCGACAAGAAACTTCTCATCGACAACCACTTATACAAACTTACAGTCAATTTTATCATCACAAGATGTCTGGGGGCTCAGTCGATTACATGGCGATTTTCAAGGACAAATACGTGGGCTAAGGTCACTTTGGGTGAACGAGGACACTTTTTCGACCCTCCTGAACCCGTCGATTCTTCGGCTGCATTCAGAGGACCTTGTTCTCACCTATCACCGAACTGTTTTTGGTGACAAGGAACATTAGCTACTGAACACCCAGTTAGCTGGATTTAGGAACGACCTCGTTGACCAAACCCATGGTCAACAATACCTACTGACGACTCTACTAAGGTTCATGCGCGTGAAAGTTGTGAGTAGAAAGAGGACATCATGTACCAAGAAAGCCAATACAGTCAGGGACAAGTCAGAAGGAGAAAACCCATCTACGCCTGCTACACCTTTGGACAGATAATACTGTCCAATGGAACCACGGTAAACTGACCGATTCAGCGGATGTACAACCTGGAATCCTAAGAGAGTGACGGCGCAAAGTAAGCCAGTATTTTGGACCGGGGGAAAAGGGGAAGAGATGTTGGAACTATCAGGCATGCGCGCTCTGATAACGGTAGTACGAAAAAAAGAAGAAAAGAACGAGAATGATGGCGCTCCGGCTCCTGAACGATGTCTTTCGATCTACAACTACTGCTAAGTAATTTCGCTTGATTTTATTTTAGACAAAAGCGTCAACCTTCAACGGGGAAAAAAAACGCCAATGTTATTTGTGCTCTATTTTGCGAAATAGTGTGCTCTACTGTGCGAAAAAATCTCATTTTCAATATTTCGAATAAAAAATGAAACACACTTACAAATCTTCGTAATGTGAAAATAGAGCGCAGCTCTCAAGGAGAAGGAGGGGAGGGTATAAAGGGGGTATTCCCTCCTCCTCCTCTGTACCCTCTTCTCCGCAATAGATGAATGGATGGATGTTAATGGCTATATCATTTGTAACGGGCGGTAGCTTGCGCCACCTAACCTAAGTCTAAAAAGACCAACATATGATTCCTCCCGCCCTTCTACCAATTTCCCCCCCCTAACTATCACCAGGCAGTGTGGGATATTACCAAAAAGACCTTCGGGGGATCGGCAAAAAAAAACTAAAAACGTCACCCCCGCCTTTCCCCCCGGCGAAAATCGCCAATTATCCTCTGGTCAAACCTTGTCGGCGTTACCCCAGCACCAAATCAACTGAGAGACGACAGCGGTGAGACTTTGGGCCGGAGCCACGCAATTCCCTTTTGTCTCGCCTGTCCCCAGCTGTGCTAGTTAGTTGAGTATCACTCAATTTTCTCTTGGTAATTTCCACCAATCTTCTAATCGCCCCTTTGTGACTGTATCCCATTCCTTTTCCGTCCTTTCATCGTCGCCAGCGAAACCCAGAGCCCCGACCAAATCCGCTATCCGTCCAGAGAGGGTAGGGCGAAGCCCCGTCCACTTCAAAACGAAATGATCTAGTGTCTTGCTTTCAATACGGCAGGCGGCACATAATGTGTCTGTCTCCAAAAATTTAGCCCTACTCGTCCTCGTCCTCAAAACTCCCGTTCGGTCCTCGAACAGCAAAGAACTTCTGAGTGAATTGTCAAACACATTATCTTTTCTTATGTCCTGTTTTTGTAACCTGTATATCGTTAGAGCTGATCTTTCTTGTATTCATCCCTCCAAAATTTCCTTTTTCTCCCTCTTTCACTCTCTTATTTACCGAGGTAATCTGCTCAGCCCCATCACTAGTGTGTAAAAGTGTTGTACGGAACGGCGTTACAAGGAACGACGTTCCTGGAACGTGTTCCGTTTAGGAGAAACGAAGGAACGCCGCGGTTCCATTTTCCGCCGGTGGAACTGGAACGGGAACTCGTTACATTTTTGCTGGAACGGAAAAAGGAACGGCGTTCCCCTTTTTTTTTCGTCCAGTGGGGTATTTTTTATTTTATTCCTAAGAGAGAAATTCTGAAAAGTATGAAAACAATATAATTACTAAGAGCAGGGTCTCCTTAACTTTTTTGTTACTTATCTTAGGGTTTATACTGTTGGGCTTTCTCTTGGTAACAGTTGGGCGCAGGAGAGCTAGTGGACATTGATTATTTTTTTCAGCGGCCAAGACTGCGGTACAAAAAGCAAAACTTTTAGTCGAAGGAAAAGTCACAAAAGAGGGACACCTCAAACTCAGTTACTTTCTTTGCTTACACAAATCCTCATTCACCTAGTAATCTAAGGCCGACTACAGGCATCACTGAACATCCACTAACAGACCTACAGTTAAAACAAAAAGAAA